CCCTTTCTCTGTGTTCTCTAGGTTTGTCCGACAGCAAGCGAAAATCATAAATGATCCCAGTTTCGCATTTGCCACCAGCGACAATCAATCGCAAAGACCTCACAGTAAGACCTCTGTATCCACACACAAAACAGTTGTACCTTCAGAAGTCAGACTGTCAAAGCACCCATAAGGTACATACAATAGAAAACCCAGACAGACATTGCTCAATACACAAAAAACCACATCCACTAAAGAAATGCAAAGGCTTTAGAAGCAAACCTATTGCAGAGCGGATGTCCTTCCTTAAACAAAACGGCATCTGTTTTAAGTGCTGCGGATCTACTTACCACATTGCCAAAGACTGTAAAATACCAGTGGAATGTACAGAATGTGGCAGTGAGAGACATATTGCAGCTTTGCACCCTGGCCCTGCTCCTGCACCACTAGAGACTGTGGAACCCATGAAAGGTCAGGGCAGGGAGCAACAAGAGACCCCACTCTCTTCAGTAATGTCAAATTGCACTGAAGTATGTGGACAAGGCAAGAGTGCACAATCATGCTCTAAAATCTGTTTAGTGACTGTATATCCCACTGGCAAGAGAGAAAGGGCAGTTAAAATGTATGCAGTGCTGGATGAACAGAGCAACAGATCCCTTGCAAAGTCAGACTTCTTTGATACCTTTAACCTTAAGGCAAGTGCAGTTCCATACACCCTAAGGACATGTGCAGGGACAATTGAAACCGCAGGGAGAAGAGCTACTGGCTTTACCAATGAATCCTTCAATAAGAAAGTGCAGTTCCCACTTCCTACCCTAATAGAGTGTGGCATGATACCTGATGACAAAACAGACATTCCCTCTCCAGAAGTAGCCTATCATCACCCTCACTTCTGCTCAGTTGCTCACCTTATCCCAGCTGTTGAGCCAGATAATTCTATCCTACTTCTTGGAAGAGACATCCTTCAGGTACACAAGGTGCGCCATCAAATCAATGGACCTTACAATGCCCCCTATGCACAGAGACTGGACCTGGGGTGGGTCATTGTAGGTGAAGTTTGCCTGGGGACAGTGCACCAGCCTGACAACATTAGTATTTTGAAGACATCTGTGTTAACAAATGGATGCACATCTCTTCTCAGTCCCTGTCACAACAGCTTCGTTATCAAGGAAAGCTTTGGCAGGTCAACACAACACTGGGACTCTTCTACACTATATGGCAAAGACGAAGTCAATTCCGACATTGAGACAGACAATCTAGGGATTACAGTGTTCCAGAAAACTAAAGATGATGATAAACAGGCCCTCTCTATAGAGGATCAGACCTTCTTAAAGATTATGGATAGAGAGGCCTACCAAGATGACAATCACAGTTGGGTGGCCCCTCTCCCCTTTCGCACACCGAGACGTGTCTTGCCTTGTAACAGGGAGCAAGCCATGAAGCGTTTGCGTTCACTCAGCAAAACACTACAGAGAAAGCCAGAAGCGAAAAGAGATTTCACTGAATTCATTAAAAGGATGCTGGACAACGATCACGCTGAAGTTGCAGGACCAATTGAGACAGATAGGGAAGGAACACTGGTATCTACCCATGTTTGGTGTTTACCATCCACACAAACCTAACCAAGTCAGAATAGTTTTTGATTCCAGCGCAGAGTATGAAGGAGTTTCTTTAAACAACGTACTGTTAAGTGGCCCTGACCTAAACAATACTTTGCTAGGTGTCCTTATGCGCTTCAGAAAAGAACCCATTGCTTTCACAGCAGATGTGCAACAAATGTTTTATTGCTTTCTTGTCAGAGAAGACCATAGAGACTTTCTACGTTTTCTCTGGTATGAAGACAATGACATAGACAAGGAAATTGTCGAGTACAGAATGAAAGTGCATGTATTTGGCATCAGGCCCTCTCCTGCTGTCGCTATATACTGCATGCAAAAGGCTGCCCAGAAAAATGCAGAGTTCTATGGACAAGAAGCCAAACACTTTGTATTGAGGCATTTCTATGTGGATGATGGACTCGATTCTGCTAGCACACCTGAAGATGCAATTTCCATCCTCAGTAAAGCAAAGCAAATGCTGGCAGAATCCAATCTGCGTCTTCATAAAATCGCTTCCAACAGCCAAAAAGTAATGGAAGCCTTCCCTGTAGCAGACAGAGCCAAGGACCTTAAAGATCTTTGACTAGGTACAGACACCCTTCCTCTTCAGAGAAGCCTAGGCCTGAGTTGGGATCTAGAAACAGATAGTTTTGTTTTCCGAGTTTCTTCAGAGGAAAAGCTCTTTACACGTAGAGGAATTCTATCCACCGTAAATAGCCTCTTTGATCCCCTAGGTCACCTGTGACAAAAAAAGGATAAGGCCTTAGTTCGGGAACTGTCATCTGGGAAAAGTGAATGGGATGCATTGCTTCCAGAAGGGAGACTATGTGAGTGGGTTCAATGGACAGAATCCTTGCAAGCGTAGAGCACCTAAAGATAGATGTTATGTTCCCATATCTCTATCAACAGCTCGCAGGAAAGAACTGTGCATTTTCTCAGACGCATCCACCATAGCGATAGGTGCTGTGGCTTACTTGAAAGTAATTGATGCAGAAAATGTGTGCCATGTTGGATTTGTTATAGGAAAGTCCAAATTAAGCCCTAAACCAGCCCACACGATTCCTCGTTTAGAGTTGTGTGCTGCTGTACTTGCAGTCGAAATGTCTGAGCTAATCACTTATGAACTAGACACTGACTTTGATGCTGTGAAATTCTTCACTGATAGCAAGACTGTCCTGGGGTACATTTGCAACACCACAAGGAGATTCTATCTGTATGTCTCCAACAGATTGAATAGAATCCGGCAATCTACACACCCAGATCAGTGGTTCTATGTATCTACAGAGCAGAGCCCTGCAGATTTTGCCACTAGACCTACTCAAGCAGCATGCCTGCAGAACTCTAGATGGTTCTCAGGTCCATCCTTTCTGTACCAGCCACACTGTAAGGATATAGACACTGCTAATGTTTATCCACTCATAGAGCCTGAAGCTGACCCTGAAATCAGATCAGAAATTACAAGTTTCAGTACCAAAGCTTCTGAAGCACTTCATTCATATTGCTTGAGAGATTTTCTTGCTGGAAGATATTAGTTAAAACCCTAGCCAGACTCATCCATGTTGCTAAAACCAATAGTGAAACCAATAGCGATCAGGTCAGAAGGTGGGAAAGTTTCCATGAACAGGTCAATCTAGAAGAACTTTCTCGGACAAAGTCTGTTATAATTTCTTCTGTTCAAAACAAACATTTCCAGAAGGAAATTGACTGCATCACAAAACAAAAGACATTCCCAAAACAAAGCCGTCTTAGGAAGCTCAGCCCCTTCGTAGACAAGAATGGGTTGTTGAGAGTGGGTGGACGTTTGTCTCTTGCCGAACTTCCAAAGGTTGAGAAAGGCTGGTATACCGTATATATACTCCGTTTTTGGTGGGATAATGGTTGAACTATGACATTATAGTTTTAGTCTCAGATTAGCTAGGATTCCATTTTCCTGTTTGTGTGTTTTTTTTCTGCACATCAGTTGTTACATAGGTAGTGGCATAATAAATTATGCCAGACAGGGAGTGTTCTGCCCATATTGTTGAAAATAATGTATGTAATATACTGTAATGTTATGTGATGTTGCTGCAATCTATTGGTTAAAGTTATTATGCCTAGTTATATCAGGATTTGTCAGGAAGTGGTAATTTTCACATAGAGGCAATAACCTCTAACCTGGAACTTCCTATCCTCCATTTCGTGACTGCTTCTGAATCTAGCAAGCAACATACAGTGGAGCTCCAAGCTATTCCTGGACTTATGGTGGAATTGTCCATAAGTACACTCACTGATGGGATGAAGCTGTTGTATAATGTTTAATGTACTGACACATATGTTCTGTTTGTGCTTATGTTGTAGTTTTACAAAGTTATTCAGAACAAAGAATACATACAGATCTGATGTCTCACGTTTCTTGACTTCTGAATTATTGTTAGACTGTGTTACTAGTGTTATACAACAGTTCAATAACGCAAAGCAGAACAACAATAGAACCTTTTCATTTGTGTTACAGATATGAATAAGCTTCTGTAGTCTTCCTGAAGAAGCAGGTGTTGACCTGTGAAACACATTGAAGAATGTGATGACTTCATATATACCGTATTTGCCGGCGTATAAGGCGACTGGGTGTATAAGACGACCCCCTAATTTTCCAGTTAAAACATAGGTGTTGGGCTATACTCGTCGTATAAGACTACCACCCTTCTGAGGCAACACCATTTAACCACTAGCCTACAAGGCACTTATACCCACTTTCTGCCCAGGCCAATTTTCAGCTTTCAGCGCTGTCACACTTTGAATGACAATCATGCAACACTGTACCCATATGAAATTTTTATCATTTTTTTGTGACAGATAGTGCTTTATTTTGGTGGTATTTAATCAACTCTGGGTTTTTTATTTTTTCTTAAACAAACCAAAAACCACTGAAAATTTTGAAAAAAAAATGTTTTTTCTTAGTTTTTTTTTAAATTTTGTAAATAAGTGATTTTTCTCCTTCACTGATGTGCGCTAATGAGGCTGCAGTGATGGGCACTAATAGGCTGCACTGATGGACACTGATAGGTGGCACTGATGAGGAGGTACTGGTAGGTGGCACTGATGGGCATTGACAGGTATCACTGATGGGCACTGAAAGGCAGCACTGATACATGGCACTGACTGGCACTGATAGGCGGCACTGACTGACACTGTTAGGCGGCACTGACTGGCACTGATAGGCGGCACTGATTGGCACTGATAGGCAGCACTGACTGGCACTGTTAGGTGGCACTGACTGACACTGATAGGCGGCACTGACAGGCACTGATAGGTGGCACTGATGTGAACTGATAGGCAGCACTGACTGGCACTGATAGGTGGCACTGATTGGCAGCACTGATAGGTGGCACTGATGGGCATTGACAGGCATCACTGATGGGCACTGAAAGGCAGCACTGATACATGGCACTGATAGGCAGCAGTGACTGGCACTAAAAGGTGGCACTGATTTGCATTGATAGGTGGCACTGACTGGCACTGATGGGTGACACTGAAAGGCAGCTCAGATGGGCACTGATATGTGGCATTGATGTGCACTGGTATGCACTGATATGTGGCATTGATGTGGCACTGATGGGCACTGGCACGTGGCACTGATGGACACTGACAGGTGGCACTGCTGGAGCTACACTGATCATCAGGGCACACTGATCATCAATGCCCTGATGTTCAGTGTACATGTCCACTCCACGGAAAGCCAATTACCCACTCTTGTTCTCCTCTGTCAGCGTGACAGCTCGAGAGGAGAGAAATACCGATAACCGGCATTTCCCTGTTTACATGTGATCAGCTGTGATTGGACACAGCTGATCACATGACCAAGCCGACAGCTTCGATGTCCGATGGACACAGCGCACCGCCGATCGCCGTGCACTCCCTGAGCCGCGCATGCCTGGAGAATGGGGGAGGACGTCATATGAGCCAATCACGGCAAGTGATGTATTCTATTAATGAATACAGAGCCTGCTTGGATTGGCTGCGTCAGAGAGGTGAGCTGATGATGTCACAACTTCAGCCAATCCGAGCAGGCTCTGTATTCATTGATAGAATACATCGCTCGCCGTGATTGGCTCAGCGCGGTATACTGTATGTAGCCGAAGCTACCGTACAGTATTACCGCACATCCAGCGGGCTGACATTCTATACCCCGCGTATAAGAAGACCCCCCAATTGTTGGGGTATGTTTTTAAGTATAAAAAGTCGACCTATACGGCGTAAAATACGATATGTATTTTTCTTCTTCCTTTATACTCTGTATATACTGTAGGTCAAGTTCAGAAGCGAGAATTTTGTATAAAAATAGCAAGTGCATAAAACCATTGTTTTTAGGCTGTTTTAAAATATTATATAATAAACTTTGTATCTTTTTACATAAATGGAAGGTGTTGAACTGGTACTATAAAAGTCCCATGTAGATTTTACTGTTAGGGATCCTATGGCTGGACCAGTGAAATTGAATAAAAAAGCACATTATAAAAAAAATTAGTGTACACATTTCCCTGCTCTATCTATTTTTAAATAGAACTTTTTTTTTTTACATTTTGGGCAGAGTAGGAAAAAATAAAACTTTGACCTCTCTTTTCCCAAAGGACCAGTTCAAACAGAGCAGTGAATCTGCTCAATGGGAATACAGACTGTGATAAAAACCCGAAAGGTCTACTTTTACCCCACTCTAAAACTAAAAAACAGTTTTGCCAACAGATGCACCTTCATTTTTACCTACTTGTCAAATGGTAGGGTTTCCACTTTATATTGTGTGAATTCCCTTTAGGTTTTATATAGTAAAATTGTGCTTTATATGCTCCGTTATTATGGTGTTATCAGGCATGTGAACAAAACAATACGAGATTGTTTGACAGAAGTTACTCACAAAGGATATCTGTATGTGGTCAATGTTGTGCCAAGAGCAAATTCTGGCACCTACAATTCTATTTCCAGTAAGCAATCCTTGAGCTTTGGGCCTTAAAACAGCTGGTGGGTAACCTAGAGCCCTATGTTTGTATTGTCTACACACTGTTTTTTTGGCATACAGTAGGAAAAACATTTCCAGTTCAGCACTTTGAAAATGTGCAACCAGCATGAGAAAGGATGTTGCTGATATCAGTGACATTTGGGTGCTACTAGCAACCTTGATAATAGCAGACTGCGTGGCTGTCCAAACATTTGGCTTTTGTTTTCACTTTTCTATTTTATTGGATGGACATTTCTTTCCTAGTTATCAATGGAAATAAAGCCAGTGGAATCCTTGTTCTCACCATTCTCTGTTGCCTGTAATTAAATAATGCAAAGCAGAATGTGGGAAATTCAGCAAATTTCAATGGAATGAAAATGATATCAGTTTCTTTAATTAGAATTCTGTCTGTTTTAAGATCCCATTTTTTTTTTTTATCAAGGCACAAGTTGTAACTGTAACTATTTCACTGTGTTCACTTTACATGGACTGTGTCATTTTAGAATAAAATAATTAGTTTAATTAGTCAAATGCAGACCTTGCTTGATCTTGCTTCCTTGTGCCTTCCTATTGATGAGTGAAATCAACCTTCACTTAAGGGACCAAAAGAGAGAAAAGAAAGATAAGAGGGGTGGAGCCCAGCTCATCCTTTAAAGGATAAGTTTGATGATGAGCATGATGTCTAGGTCAGAAATTATAGCTGTTTCTTTTGCCTTTAATGGCCCCCTTTCCCTTAAGGGAAGCAGGCTTCCTGGTATTTAGTTTTCCATAGGTCTTAGAACACAGTGCTAAGTTTCTGGCCCAAAGGCACCGGGACTGCAAAAAAGAAACAAGCAAGGGGATCTGTAATCTTGAGGCTGGTCAGGTAGAAGATTGTGGCTGGTTGTGGAATTTTTGAACAGTCCAAGGTTCAGGATAGGTAGAGGGCAAGTGTAATCCAAAAGAGTGGTTGGGGTACAAGGCAGGGGTCAGCAGCTAGACATGTGTGATTTGTTTCAGTAATTTAAAATAAATTATAATTAAACAACAAAATAAATTTGTTTAATTTGGATGCTTCAATAATGAATGTACCAAATTGATCCATTATTAACTCATTGTTAAAGAGTGGGTGGCCGGCCGCTGCATCTTTAACGGCCATGACTCAACTGTTGTCAGTGGGATTCTCTGCTGACAGCAGAATGTAAACAGAAGAGACAGTAAAAAAAAAATTAATCAGAAATAAAAAATTTACAAAACAAATCTAAATCCAAATTTATGAAACTTAAAAACTAATAATTTTAATATAACAAATATGACCAAACAAATTGATTTACTTATCAAATGAATCCAAAATAAAAAACAAACAAACAAATGTTTTCCTTGTGCACACCTCTATCAATGAATGCAAATTATAGGTAACACAGCAGGCATAGCATGACAGATCCCATCATAAGCCAAGAGCCCTGGACATGTGATGTTTAAAGTGGAGTTCCACCCAAAAGGGGAAGTTCCGCTTTAAAGATTGGTTCCCCGCTCCCATTAAGGATTGGCACCTTTGGGGAACGGGGGGGACGGGTACCCGAATTTGACAGATACCCGCTCCCACTTTTTTTGCTGCGATCGCCTAGGCGATCAGAAACGGAAGTTGTCCTCCTACCCTCCCTCCCTCAGGGAGCGCAGCGCTACTCGCACATGCGCAGTGGGAACCAGGCTGTGAAGCCGCAGGCCGTCACAGCCGGGTGCCCATACTGAAGATGCTGGCGCCCGTAATACAGGACGGCCAGTGAAACGGGCTGCGGCGGGGGCAACGCGGGATTGTGGGACAGGTGAGTGGCTGTTTTTATAGCTGATGACTTTTTTTTTTTTTACGGAGTGAGTGGAACTCCGCTTTAAATAAAGCGCCAGAGCAACCAAACAGTCAACCAGGGATTTGGATGATGTTATATTGGAAACAATGGAAGTACTGTACATAGAAGGGCTGTGGGGCAATAGTGATTCCGAGGCCCCATTTGACAACAGGCTTATCTCAGCCATTGACCATTGACCATGAGATTGTCCATACGGGGTTCATGCCCCTCTCCAACCTCTTTGGGTAAAAGGGAATTTTATCCCCACGTTCTATAAGGTTGTTCTCAATGACTTCAGGAAAATGTATGCGCCCCATGACTCCTATCATTCTAAGAAACATCAAGGTTTTATGGATCCACTTACTGGATCAATAGGAAGCCTTAAAAATAATAGGGAAGTGGTGATCAAGCAGGATGACAAAGGTGGGGGACTGGTCATTCAGGACAGGGAAGACTATATAGCCAAAGCCAACAGGCTTCTGGGGGATACTGATACATATGTTAAACTCAAGAATGACCCCACCTCCTCATACCTCACTGAACTAAAGGCTCTACTAGATTGGGCTTTGCAACATAAGTTACTAGACAAAAATGCATATCTATTCTTGCTTAACCTCCTTAGCGGTATTCCCGAGTGTAGCTCGGGGTAAAATTTGAGTACCAAGAGCGGTAACCCCGAGCTACACTCGGGCTTACCATGCGGCGTTGCTCAGGAAGTCCCTGCAGCACTTACCTTGTCCTTCGCTCCCACGATGTGTCCCCTGCAGCGTCCCCAGCCATCTCCTCCAGCTGATGCCGGCTTCCGTGTTCCGGTCCCTGTGACGTCGGGACGTACGGGCGCCGGAAACTGGCGGCAAATTTAAAAGCTTTAAAAAATGTAATTTTTAAAAAAAATGATTATTACATAGTAAAACATTGCTATTTCAATGCATTTCACATATATTTTGTCCCTAGTGCTTTGTCCTGTGCCCTGCCTGCATTTTGACTGTTCTTTCTGCCTGGAAACTTAGAAAAGTCCATGGTGTCCAAAAAGCGTCCCTTTATGTCAAAAGCGGTTTTAGACCAGCTAGAGAACAGCGATAGTAAATCAGAACCACTTGCAGAATTGAGTGATAATGATTCGTGGGGAAATTCGTCATCAGACACTAAAAAGGATTTTGCGACTTTGCTCAGCGATGTGCGAATTTGCCTCTGTATTTCAAATTTCAGTGTTTTTGGTTTGATTATATTATTGAATTAAATTTATTATTATTATATTATTATTTTTTGTGATTATTTATTAAATTATAATGTATGATTTTGTGTTTCAAATTTTATCCTACCCGGGATGTTTACTAGACTCCTGTTCGTACAGATTTCAGTGAGTTATTCCTAAAAATTACAGCCTACAATAAAAAACTACATATTTCCATGCAAAAAAATGGTACCGCTTTCAGCACAAAAAATTGGAAATAATCAGACCGCCGAGGAGGTTAATAAACACCCTGTCACACCCCACTTTTAGCAAAATTCATAAGCATATGGAAATCCACCAGGTCGGAATATTATAGCTGGAATTAACAGTCTGACCAGCAGTTTAGGAAGCTACATAGACTACTACTTGCAAAACTAGTCACGAATCTCCCTTCCTTTGTCATGGATTTTGGCCATACGCTCAAAAAACTATCCTTCTATTCTTGGCAACCAGGTTACCGTTGGGGTGTCTCTAGACGTCACTTCACTTTACACCTCTATTGATCATGAATTTTGGGCTTAGAGCCATTGAACATTTTCTCATGGAAGAGGGCAATTTGAACTCCATGCAAATTAGGTTTCTGTATGATTGTACTTATTTCACTCTTGTACACAACTACTTCCCATTCATGAGGGACTACTACAAGCAAATCAAGGGCACTGATATGGGGGCTAGGTTTGCAGACCTGTTTATGGGGCTTTTGGAACATCAGATTATCTGGAGAAACAACCGCTTTGGAGCTAATCTGGTGTCATTTGCCAGAAACATAAATGATATATTGATCCTCTGGGATGGCTTGGATTGTGAACTTGAAAAGTTCTTTGACCATTGCTTACAGAACCCATTCGGAATTTCATTTTCTCTTGTGGTTGACGATAAGTGCCTCATTTTCCTGGAATTGGAACTTAGAACTGACCCATTGGGTAACATCTACTACAGGACACACTTTAAGCCCAGTGCAGGTACTCCTACCTACACGCAGGCAGTCACAACCATCCTACCTGGATCCGCTAACATACTGTGATGCCTATGAAATGTGTTGGCCTTGGACCCTTTGTTTCTTAGGTAATTTTTACAATAAAGCATTGTTGCCCAAATACCAGGAGCATGAAAAGTGACTGATGTCCTTTATCTAGGCTAAAGGAACAGAGCCACCATCAGAGTCACAAGATATTCTGCTTAGAGCAAGATAAAAACTTGTTTATGGAATTGAACGTGTTTATGACATCTAGTAATGTCACATTAGAAGATAAGAACCTGTTTAAATACATCTACTTGCTTGAGAAGTTAGAAATCTTTAAATTTAGGGTAGATGAGAAGAAGTATAGGGTAGATGAGAAGAAGTTTGGAGTAGATGAGAAGAAGTTTAGGGTAGATTAGAAGCGGAACTGAGGCAAAAGTGTGACTTTTCAGATAACGATGTGGAATCAATGTGGTGGTTGAGCGTGACTTTGTTATCCTCTCTGAACCATTCTGCTAGCTCCTCCTATGGTGGGTGTGGTGCCCACCCACTATTGAAAAGCTTTCAAAAAACATGGTTTAAAAGCCGGGAGTCCAAGTGAGACCAGGAGGAAGCCCCTAGTGGTCAGGGGACGCTCTGACGCTGGGATTCTTGCCACGGCTATATGGGCCTATCAATTGGTTGTGCTTACGGCTTCCCTGTGACCCCCTGGGCAGTATTGTTCAGATGGGATTTGTTCCTTCCCGCTTCCACATAGCTTTGGTAATGTATTAATTCTATACTGTGACGCTGTCAAATGATGTGTCTATTTCATGCTGTAATGCTCACATTATTATAGGTGTGTGTTATTATGCAGATTGTGATGACTAGATATATCCTCCTGTGTGTATAAGATATATCCTCCTGTGTGTCGTGTGATAATAAAAGTGGAGGTTTTGACAGTGCAAGAATATTGCAGTTGGATTCTGTTTTTTCTTGGAATGCCGTGTGAATGATGTACCAGGTCAGGTATATAAGCTGTGTAACGGGGTTGGCTCCCCAGGATACAGTGAAGTCATGAACGAGGAAAGCAACCCCAACACCAGCTTTTGCCACAACAGAATTTTACTTAGATGTGGCAAATAAACACAACCACAAATGCTGGAAACATACAATAAATTTTACATACACCCAGCCCAAAGGCTGAGACCATTGTGCTGCACAGCACGGCGCCTTCTGATGGATGACGGTAGAAAGTGAAGTAATTTACCTACTGGCGGGCACAAATAAGCTGCCACACCTTACCTGTTATTACCCTAAAAGAGCAGGAATCAGTGTATGGGTGTACAGTATGGGCTAGCCTGCGGTGCAGCACAACAGCTTACAATCTTACACAAATCTACAGTATTCCCTCTCCCATAACTGGTCCTGTAGCACTTGCCTGAGTATTCCTTCTGAGCAAAACGCCAGTCTGACTTGAGTTTGTAGGATTTTATCAGCTCTCCAATGTGAAATGTTACTTTAAGTTGTGGAGTCCTTCCAATAATCAGTAACAACACTTGTGGCCTGACACAGAGACCCTAACTAACTAACTATAGGCCTGAACTCAGTCTCAAGGCGCCAACACTGAAATGAGGTGCGTGCACGATCTTACCGACCCGGGTCTGCTTTGCATCCGCTGGTGACACTGAACAGAACAAATGTCTCTCCAACAAGCATGCGGTTTTGCCGTATATGTTGCTTAGTTCGTCTGGTCTTATCAGCTTCCTGGCAGCAGACTCATCAGCTTCACTCAGCTGCAGGTTTGGTTACTGAGGGACGCATTCACACCTGGATGTCATCGGATTCTCAGCTCACACGGCTCCTTCATTCAGCATTGTCCAAAACATGGCTGAAGTCTCCTCTTCCTGTTCACTAAACTCCAAACTCTGAGTGCAGAACCCCACCTCTTCATGAATATACAAATATCTATGCAGTCTGAGGCTGTGTTAGAAAAACAGTGACAACTTGTGGCTAAACCGAAGAATGTCAGTCAAAACATTACTTTACTTCCACACAGTGTTCAAACAATGAGAGCTGTTTCCCCATCTCACAGGTATTCATGGGGTAGAGGGTCTTTCACATGCATAGAATATGTAATGGTGTAAATGCTGATTAAAAGTACCTGTATGACTACAAGTTGATTGTGTGCGTGTATATCACTTGCTTTTAGTTATTGCACCCAGTATTTGTCGTTACACATACCATATGGGCAGTTCTGCAGGCTCAGATGCACATGTACCTGCAGGGTAGATTATGAAGTACAAAGCTTTATCCTGAAAAACAAATTTAGGAAAAAGGGATACACAGATGAGCATATTGAAGCTGCCTACAATAAGTATTTAGTCCTCTATGATAGCCCCATTCCATCTACTTCTAGGGAGAGGACACCCCACATATCAGATAATCATAAAATCTAGTTTATTCCAGCAAAGTCTTTGAACTTAAACGAGTAGTGACCAGAAATTGGAACATTTTGAAACAGGCCCCCAGTATTGGGAAATATTCTCCCTGACAATCCCCAATTTATATACAGGAAACCACATGACTTGAGAAGTTTGATTGCTCATAGTAGAGTGAGGAAGTCTGGAGACAAAAGGGCCAACTCCCATAATTCTTGGGGGTCTTGGTTTGACCAAAACATGAGTGTCAAGAAGGGCATTGAGAATTATGGCACATGCTCCTTCATGTGGCATCACAAGCGTGAGTTTATGGGAGCAGATTGCAGAACCCATAGAATTAGATAGTTTATCAATTGTGGTATGCATACCCCCTATGAGTATGTGCTAGAGCACGAAACGCATCAGAGAGGAGCTACAATGTCGTGACATCACTACTGCCGAGGCCCCAGCAGGTCCGGTGGACATCTTTAAACACATGGTCAGTCTGTCTGTTTTTTCTTATTGTACACCCTGTTGGAAAGCAATAAATCCCTCTGTTAGCAGTATTACGCTATGTGGCATCCTTTCTTTGGGCTGCATATGAGTCTAACCATTCACAGAGTCATTAAAAGAGAAAGTTAGATGTGCTGCTACCCACAGAAGATCCAGAGGGGAACCATGACCAGGCTGTGCATACCTTAAAAGAGGATCTGGCTGACCTGTTGAGACAGTCGTGTTCTCAAATGCGAAATGAAATTGCGAATCTGGTAATTGCGCAGTTTTTCTATTACCAGATACACCACCTATGAATTGGAGATAGGAGCTTGGACCACCTATCCTGAGATCCCATAAAGGATCCTCACGTCCATTATTCTGGACTTTTCACTTCAATAGCACCATAGCCACCTTTGAGTGGCTCTCCTCAGATTTTATCCACTTGCTCACCTATTGGACTTAAGTACATAATTAGTACATAAGCAAGTTTGCCTATTTATTTTATTTTTATATGATTTTACTTGTGATCACCATTAGCACTAATGGCACTTTATTATTTATTATTGGCAATTGTTTTTGATTGATGTAACACTTTATTTCATATTCATATCATATATCTCAGTGCTGCACCTACTCTATGTTTTATTAGTCCTCGCTTGTTGCTTGGATTCTTGCTAGAGACCATGCGTTTCAATTTTGGCCACAGATTTTTGATGGGATTCAAGTCAAGGCTATTTCCAGGCCAGGGATGCAGAGGAATGTTCTTGTCATTGCGCCATTTAAGGCATTTATGAGCTGTATGGCATGGAGCTCCATCCTGTTGAAAAGTAAATTCTGTACTTTTGTCCGCTAAGTCGCTTATTGATGAGATCAACTTTGATGTATCACTCTGCATTAATAATGCCATTAATAATGCCATAAATAACCTGCTTTCGTCCAACACCATACCAAGACATGCCGCTCCATATCATGATGATTTGAGGGTGTTTCCTTGTTGCTGTCATGCACTCAGGAAAGCATTCTTCGCCAGACCTTCTTCGCACGTATTGAACACCATCGCTGTTCACTCACTTTATAAGGCCTCTTTTGAATTGCTGTATCATTGTACTTTATTGGCTACTGTGCATTTATTTTACTTTTAATGAATAATAAAAACATTGTTCCAAAAGAATATATCAGCTAGTAAGAATGATTATTAATTTCTTTCTTTCAGCTTGTACCATATTATTATATGTATTTGCTTAGACAGCTCTGTGCATAAGCTGTTAGAAACTGAACCACAATATACGTCTAATATTTTTATTGTATTGGTCAAATCAGTTCAGATTTCCCACAGTAAGCTGTTGATTCCCCCATGGTTATTAATGTACCATCGCCAAATGTGTCTGGGTTATGGGATCTAGTATGTGTTTCTTGGAGGTTGAGAGAAATCCATTGGCTGACTCATCAGACTGATGTGTATCCAATGAAATGACAATACAACTAGTGTTTGAAAACTGTATATGTCTGCAGTGATTCACTTAAGTCAGTTTATACTGGAGCTGCATCATAAAACTCAATTTGATTTGGCAAAGGATGGGTTTTGTCTAAGAGGACTGTAAATGAGACAATATTTTCTTCCTTTGCCAGTGCCTATATGCCAAAGTATTACTCGACTTGTTTCCTGAGGTGTGTGGGTTGGCTTTGAGAAGTACTGAGTCAGGTCAGTCAAAGTATCTTTTAGATTTGTAATACATTGTGCCATCACCCTAACTTTCATAACATTATCTGCATTAATAACATTGCTGTGTTTTAGGAGTCTGCAGTGAGTGAACTCCAGTCTTATATCTATGCTTTTAATAATTGTGCTTGTAAAGTCTTCAGTGAATACAGTATTATAAAAACAAGATTCCTTGTCTTCTCGGGTTGTATTCTCTGCTACTGGTTGATTAGAATGTACAAAATTCAGTGATGAATTTTTTCTACAGAAAGGCTAAAACACTAAAGAAAAGCTAAGGTTTTAGAAAAAGTGTTTAATAAATATCTGGTGCTGATCCTTGTTGCTTATATGCTTCCAGTGTCAAACAGGCAACTATGTAAATGCCCACTGGTGGGCGGGGGGGGGGGGGGGTGGCTAGCCCAGACTCTCAGTGGCATGCTGAGAGGCTGAGCACTTGAGTGGATCCCGACAATAAAGTTAGGATCCTCCAGAGCCTAGACTACCTCTGTGACATCAGCTGACAGTGGGTTTTAATCTTATTATGGGTCACAGGTCTCAAGTAAGTGCACTCCTGTGACCCAGTTGTGAAGTATTACCAAAAATGTTTGACCATTCTTCTTTTTTAATTACTGTTCCACAAGCAAAAGTCTCACAGACACATATGATCTTCAGTACAATCATATTTTAAAAAATTTAACTCACACATATGCTTTTCTGCACGTAGACAAAAGACACAGAGCTGACACTTTGTACATGCCTACCTTAAAGAACAACTTTTATAAAATAGCCTGGAACCACTTAGCAAACCCCAGCTGTTTAGACAATGAATACTTCGGTCAGGCGTATATAATACAGCAAATATAATGCAGGGGTCAGGGTAGGGAATTTATTTGGTTTAACCACTACCATGAATTCTAGGTGTACCCTATTATGTTTGGGGTGCATAGTTCTGGTGAATTAATGCTGGAATTCACCGGACCAAATTCTTTGTGACCATAATGTACTGCTGGGTCTTTGAGCTTAGGTTAGAAGGGCCATTGGATCAGCCAGCTCCTTTACTATAAAGGGTGAGGTCACAGCAGTCTTATTGATAATGGAATCAATTCACAAAAGGTTATCACATGTGATATTTGGGTCACATGATACATTTTTCCCCAAATATCGCATAGATAATTGACAATTTTCTATCCCTTTATGCGGTATTTACCTCAAAAAGCAAATCCACTAAGTAAATACTGCATAATGTCAATTCACTAAAGGAAATAAGTTTTAAAAATGCACTCATTAAATAAGTAGTGGTCCATGCATGCAAAATTTAAGGAAAGTATGATAGGTTAGCTGGTTGTCAAGGAGCAGGCACCTGCCTGCATCCTTAACAACCAGTGAATAGCTGGTTGTTAAGGAGCCAGCACCCGTGGCATGCTTAGCAACCATAACTCATCTGGGGATTCCCTGCTGACAGCAGAATGTAAACAAATTTTTTTTTTTTTGTAAATGGGGCCCCCACCCATCCATACCAGACCTGAAGGGTCTGGTATAGATTTTTAAGGTGGACCCCACACCAAAAGTAAAAAATTAAAAATTGGCATAAGATCCCCTCCAAAATCCATACCAGACCCTTATCCAAGCATGCAGCCCAGAGATCAGGAAAGTGGGGGGACAAGCAAGTACCCTCCTCCTGAACCATACCAGGCCACATGCCCTAAACATGGGGGGTGCTTTGGGGGACTTCCCCATCCCCTAAAGCAGCGGTTCTCAACCTGTGGGTCGCGACCCCTTTGGGTCTTTCACAGGGGTCGCCTAAGACCATCGGAAAACACATATTTCCGATGGTCTTAGGAACCGAGACACCGCTCCTCTATCCGTCTCCAGGTGTGGGTGGGATGACATGCTGCCCCTGTCATCTGGACACACCCCCGGGATCAATCCTCGCCGGTGATTGGCCACCGGAACTGTAGCTCAGGAGAGGCACACAGGCGGCCAATCACCGGCGAGGAGGTGGAGCTTGGAGAGGAGGAGCCGAGCGGCACCATGAAGATCGAGCGAGTGAAGAGGAGGAGAGCGGCCGGAGAAGGAAGACAGCTGACCGGTAAGTGTCTGTACCATGGGAGAGGGAGGGAGCGAGCGAGCCCAGGCTGGAGCAGGGGTCAGCAAGGTAAGTATCATTGGTGTCAGTGGGAGGAATAGTGCCCAATCATTGGTGTCACTAATACCAATGATGGGGCACTATTCCTCCCACTGACACCAACGATGAGGCACGATTCCTCCCCCAAATGACACCAACGATGGGGCACTATTCCTCCCCCCACTGACACCAATGATGGGGCACTATTCCTCCCCCAAATGACACCAATGATGGGGCACTATTCCTCCCCCCACTGACACCAACGATGAGACACGATTCCTCCCCCAAATGACACCAACGATGGGGCACTATTCCTCCCCCCACTGACACCAACGATGGGGCACTATTCCTCCCCCCACTGATGCCAACAATGGGGCGCTATTCCTCCCCCCACTGACACCAACGATGGGGCGCTATTCCTCCCCCACTGACACCAACGATGGGGCGCTATTCCTCCCACTGACACCAACGATGGGGCGCTATTCCTCCCACTGACACCAACGATGGGGCGCTATTCCTCCCACTGACACCAACGATGGGGTGCTATTCCTCCCACTGACACCAACGATGGGGCGCTATTCCTCTCACTGACACCAACGATGGGGCGCTATTCCTCTCACTGACACCAACGATGGGACGCTATTCCTCCCACTGACACCAACGATGGGGCACTATTCCTCCCACTGACACCAACGATGGGGCACTATTCCTCCCACTGACACCAACGATGGGGCACTATTCTTCCCACTGACACCAACGATGGGGCACTATTCCCCCCACTGACACCTACGATGGGGCACTATTCCTCCCACTGACACCAACGATGAGGCACTATTCCTCCCACTGACACCAACGATGGGGCACTATTCCTCCCACTGACACCAACGATGGGGCACTATTCCTCCCACTGACACCAATGATGGGGCACTATTTCCTCCCACTGACACCAATGATGGGGCACTATACCCCCACTGACACCTATGATGGGGCACTACTATCCCCCCACTGGCACCAATGATGGGGCACTATTCCTGCCACTGACACCAATGATGGGGCACTATTCCTCCCACTGGCACCAATGATGGGGCACTATTCCCCCCACTGACACCAATGACGGGGCACTATTCCTCCCACTGACACCAATGACGGGGCACTATTCCTCCCACTGACACCAACGATGGGGCACTATTCCTCCCACTGACACCAATGATGGGGCACTATTCCCCCCACTGACACCTATGATGGGGCACTATTCCCCCCACTGGCACCAATGATGGGGCACTATTCCTGCCACTGACACCAATGATGAGGCACTATTCCTCCCACTGGCACCAATGATGGGGCACTATTCCCCCCACTGACACCTATGATGGGGCACTATTCCTCCCACTGACACCAATGATGGGGCACTATTCCTCCCACTGACAACAATGATGGGGCACTATTCCTCCCACTGACACCAATGATGGGGCACTATTCCTTCCACTGACACAATGATGGGGACATTCCTCCCATTGACATCATGATGGGGCACTATTCCTCCCACTGACACCAATGACGTGGCACTATTCCACTGCAAAATTACAGTTATGAAGTAGCAGCGAAAATAATTTTATGGTTGGGGGTCACCACAACATGAGGAACTGTATTAAAGGGTCGCGGCATTAGGAAGGTTGAGAACCACTGCCCTAAAGCACCTTGTCTCCATGTTGATGAGGACAAGTCCCTCTTCACCACAACCCTGGCACGGTGGTTGTTTTGAAATTCTATAACATTTTTAAGACAACGCAGTGTAGCGCTGCAAAAGTGAAGCTCACAAGCTATATAATTAAACTGTTTTGCCACTGGCCAGTTTGTATGAAGTTAAGGACGTTAGATTTATTTTTCTATGGCTTTTAGATCTGTTGTGGCTGCTACTTCCACTTGTCAATTCAGGTCTATTCAAGATGGATAAAAAAAAATAGGTGTCACAGCCAAAAAAGGCATATTTTAAAGCTAAAATAAATCAGATTGTTGTGCTGCTGTTATATTTCAGTAATTGTAAAACTAAAAAAGAAAATTATCACAAATGGACGCTGTCCATGCAAAAAGGAATTGTTCACCAAGAACAAGAGTACAAGTGTAAATAAGGCACAGAGTGCATAGGCCAGGAGTATGTGAAACACAGAGCGCAGGGGCTAGAGCTATATGATTGGACTTACTCTGGCAAGAACTCTGCACTGAAGAACAGGTGGAATCTACTGAATCTCTGAAAGCTCTAACTAGAAGTTAAATAACTTTTCCAATTTAAAGGAGTAAACACTGTTACATTCCTGTTTTGGTGTGGCAATGAGTGATTCAGACATCTCTTGAAATGTCAGAATTGCAACAGCAAATGCTGTGAATGCTGCATGTTTCTATTAAAACATGTGTAAGTGGCTTCTACATGAGTGCATAGAGGATTAATGGCTCGGTTAACCTGCCTCATTGTCGATCATGCTCAATTTGAGTATGTACTCATTACAGGTATATATATAAAAGTTTGTTTTTTAAAAAAAAAAAAAATTGATGGGTAGCTTTGGGGAGGCGGGAGGAGATGGCAGGTTATATGCTGGAATTCCAGAGTAAATGCAGTGAACTGTATAATAAGTGAGTATATGCAAATCCAGCTTCTCAACCAGACACAGTGCCATGCAATTAATAGATATCTAATTTAGATGACAGTTCAGGGCTGTAGATATAGATATTTATGAAGTGTGGTGTAATACTTCATTCATATCATGTATGTTGGAAATACATTGTGCTGTGAAAGTGCAGGTTACACAACTTGAAAGCCCTATGTATAGGAAACCTTTTCATACTTTTAAAGCTGGGACCACTGCTGATCAGTATATCAGAAACATTCCTGCCAAGGATTGTTTTCAAAGTATTCCTTGAAGAGCACCTGTGCTTTTGTTTCGAGCTTTAATTTCACACTAAATAAAATGACATCATTGACCACAATGGGGGAAATTTAACAAAACTGGAGATAATATTGAGCAGCTGTGTATAGCAACCAATCAGCTTCTATCTTCAGCTTGTTAAGTTAAGACTTGAAAATTAAAGATAGAAGCTGAGTCTGAGTGGTTAGCAGGTAAAAGTAGCCTCAGCTCAATTCATCCAAGACCTCCATGATTAAGCCCCGGGGGTGGGCAAAACATGTTGGGGGCATGGCTTGGATGAATTCGCTCCTTAGCTGAGGTACCAAGGATGTCAGATGTGACAAAATGCATTAAGTGGAGCCTTGCTGTGACATCATTGTGCACTCAGAAGCTTACGGGTAGCCATTATGTTTGTCATCAGCCGATGTTTGTAAAGCGCTTTTTTAAAATTATTTTTTACTTAATTTTAATGTGAGTAGATTACTTTTTATCAATAAAGAGATACTTAGAATGATACACACCATGTGGAGCTTTTTGTTTTATCCCTGAGATGTTTCCATTCGAGTGCATATGAACGTGATGATTTCCCATAAGCATCCTCTGAGATCTATATGGAGTCCCCTGCCAGTTGATGATTGCTACCAGAATTTGTGAATAATGCCAATGTTGACCTTTCTTTAATTAGAATGGTCATATATTTCTGGTAAGCCTTGCATGGTGTTACCGGTAGAGGACTTTTCTGCTCTTCTGGGAGATATTCCCATCCTGCAACTATCATCTGATGTGGCATATCCTTTATCACTTTTTCAGTTCATTGGGACTGTATTGTTTTTTTCATTGCACAGATGGTTTTGGATTTGTAGTCTACTAAGTGCACATATTTGTATGTTTTGTACATGTTTATTGTATGAATTAGCGCAACACTTTCTTGATACACACACATAGAGAGAGAGAGAATAGAGTGTAAAGAAACAAGAAATATGCCAGTTTCTTCAATAAAAGTTCAAGTGTAAACAGGTGAAACAATCCTTATTCCTGTGATATGAACCATTCACTATTTTTCATGCTTTAACTCCACCACCAATTATGTCAAACCACTCACTAGATTATATTGCTGGCAAAAAATTTGATCAGTAAAATGGGCGTCTAGATGTATACCCAGGAGACACCACTTATCTAGACTCAGCGAATCCCTCTTTGGAACTTTCACCATTGACAGTCCATCATCCACTCATATCAAACCAATCTGAAGAAGAATAAGGTTTGCATAGCGTAAAACCATAATCACTTTATTTTTAAAAACAAATTAAAAACACAATCAATAGTGTCGCCACCGGCTCTGGTAAAGCGTGCAGTATTATGTTACCAAGCCGTCTCTGGCTGCATATTCAGACCACAAACGGACTTGTCGTGCATGCTGATGCTATGTCCAGTGCCCCGCCAACATTATTGGTTTGCCTAAAATACATTGCTCAAAAAAATTAAACAAACACTTTTTAGTCAGAGTATAGCATCAAGTCAGTTAAACTCCTGGGATATTGATCTGGTCAGATAAGTAGCAGAGGTGGTTTTTCATCAGTTTCAGCTGCTTTGGTGTTAATGAAATTAAAACCAGGTGCACTAGATGGGCACCAATGAGATGACCCCCAAAACAGGAATGGTTTTACAGGTGGAGGCCACTGACATTTTTTCCCTACTCATCTTTTGTGACTGCTTTTCACTAGTTTTGCATTTGGCTAGGGTCAGTGACACTACTGGTAGCATGAAATGATACCTGGACCCTACAGAGGTTGCACAGGCAGTCCAACTCCTCCATTATGGTACATCAATACGTGCAATTGCCAGTAGGTTTGCTGTGTCTCCCAGCACAGTCACAAGAGCATGGAGGAGATTCCAGGAAACAGGCAGTTACTCTAGGAGAGCTTGACAGGGCCATAGAAGGTCATTAACCTATCAGCAGGACCAGTATCTGCTCCTTTGTTCAAGGAGAAACAGGATGAGCACTGCCAGAACCCTACAAAATGACCTCTAGCAGGCCACTGGTGTGAATGTATCTGACTAAACAATCAGAAACAGGCTTCATGTGGGAGGCCTGAGGACCTGACGTCCTCTAGTGGGCCCTGTGCTCACTGCCTGGCACCATAGAGCTTGACTGGCATTTGCCTTTGAACACCAGAACTGGCAGGTCCACCACTGGTGCCCTGTGCTTTTAACAGATGAGAGTAGGTTCACCCTGAGCACATGTGACAGACGTAAAAGGGTCTGGAGAAGCCATAGAGAATCTTATGCTGCATGTAACATCGTTCAGCATCACCTTTTTGGTAGTGGGCCAGTGATGGTCTAGGGAGGAATATCCATGGAGGGACGCACAGACCTCTACAGGCTAGACAATGGCACCTTGACTGCCATTAGGTATCGGGATGAAATCCTTGGACCCATTGTCAGACCCTTTGCTGGTGCAGTGGGTCCTGGGTTCCTCCTGGTGCACGACAATGCCCGGCCTCATGTGGTGAGAGTATGCAGGCAGTTCCTGGACAATGAAGGAATTGATACCATTGAATGGCCCCCACGCTCGCCTGACCTAAAACCAATAGGACACCTCTGGGATATCATGTTTCGCTCCATCCAACACCGCCAATTGCACTTCAGACTGTCCAGGAGCTCAGTGATGCCCTGGTCTAGATCTGGGAGGAAATACCCCAGGACACCATCCATCGTCTCATTAGGAGCATGCCCCGACGCTGTCAGGCATGTGGGGGGCAATACAAACTACTGAGTACCATTTTGAGTTGCTGCAACGAACTTGCAGCAAAATAGACTAGCCTGCTGCATCATTTTTTCACTTTGATTTTCGGGCTGTCTTTGAATTCAGTCCTCTGTAGGTTGATAATTTTCATTTCCATTAAATGATGGGGCATTCTTACGTTCCCAACACATTATCCAGCCAATGTCAGTATAGGTATCCAGCATGAGATTTTTCCCCATTGAGATCTGATATGTTTTCAAAGTGTTCCTTTAATTTTTTTGAGCAATGCACGTATATATATATATATATATATATATATATATACAGTATCTCAAGTTAAGATTAAATTGGTAAGTATAACTAGACAGGATATCATGATTTGGGCTTTAAGGGACCAAAAAGACACATCCCAAACTGGGCTGAGTGTGTGTGGGCCCTTAGAT